ATTACATCTTAGACAATTTTACTACTATTCCATGTTAGTGACCATCCTTCTACTACAGCTTTATATGTATCTATAGTGTTGAATTTAAACAGATTTTTTTATCCTTTGATTGAGGTACAGGCCTTTAAATTATTATCCAGGTGATACCATAAATTTACCTCTGTTACTGAAATGCACATGCTTTTTTTTATTAGTTTTAATCTTCGTTTTCAGAAACATGCTAGGACCTTTCAAATTATATTGACTCTATCTTAGTTTGAACATGTACTGCCATGTGGAGACATGCATTTGTGTGCCTTACACATAACCGCAGTATTCAGATCAATCAGGTCTATTTTTTAATATCTTTGATTTAATGAAGAATAGATTCGTTGGGGTAAAATATTCAGCTTTATTAATATTCTAATTGCTTTCTTTTTAAGTAAGATTAAAGGATTGATCATTGTTTTATAATTATCCACCCTTATTACTACACAATAGCTGAGGTATGGAAAAACAAGAGAACATTATAGTTTGTAAAGTTATTTTTGGTTTAAAAACGTTTTCATCTTAAACATTATAGCAACTGTTTTTGTCCTTTTGTACAGCAATGAAATGGAACTAAATCATGTTGCCAATAATGCAAACTAATTGGAGATAATAATTCCTTTACTAACTAATCAGAAACAACATTGTTAAATAAGAAAAAATACTATAGGAAAAATAAAAAAAATATTAAAAAGTTGTATGCTTATTTTAAGTGCCTATTTTATTTGAACTTTATAAGAGTGGTCAACTGAGTTCAGTTTTTATCTGCAGCTTTGGTTAAACAGCTGAAAGCCTCACACTACTTTTTTTTTACTGCCCCCTCATTTCAGTCAGTTTCCTCTCCAGAGGTTCAACCTCTTCAGCCAATCTCATTGCACGCCAAGCAAGTTTTTTCCAGTTGCTAAAATGGAGCTTGCCAAGCAAATCCAGGGACAGACTTTATCAACAACTTATATTGTTTATCTGTAAATCTGTCCACTGTAATAATCAAAGAATAATGAGATGAAAGGATGTTGGTAGATTTTGTGTTGCTGAAGTTCACTGAATAGCATCAACCATTTGAGAGTGAACCAGAGCTGAGAAGAAATTGTGAGCGTACTGAACTAATACAACATTTTTCTTGTCACACCAAATGCTCATAGCATTTTTTTACACTAGAGCCATACAGATCCATCCATGCTAACTTTTTTTATATAGCAAAGACATTTTTCTGAAAACCGTGAAGGACTCAGACGAGTTTCTGTCTGATTGATAAGAACAGTGGCTCCAAATGCAAGCCTAGTATTCTCCAGGAAAAAATGGGGTTTTATGATTACAAAATAACACTGTAAAAAGCGAAGCATTTTATTTTGTTTTAAATATTTGATAACAAAATGTTTGGATATGATGGTTGGCAGCGGTTATACTTGACACTGTGTCCAGGATTTTCTTAAAAATTAACAGAGAAGGATCTTAAAGGACAAGGATCTTTATAACGACTGTAGACAGAACCTCTATCTTGAAAGTGGAGAGCAGGTCTTGTTTGTAAGCTTATGGCCTGATAAGTAAATTATTTTACAGGAAAATAGATTCTGCGTGTCATTAGAAGAAACAAATTTCTCACTGTATTTTCCTTTTTTCTTGATGGATGGTGACCTTTAAACATATAGAATCTATTGAACATGTAGAATATACCTGCACACATGAGCCTACATCTTTAGAAGTTGTGAAGATAAACAACTGGAAACCTTACAGAGTAGTGAGTGAGACATCTCTGTGGTAAGTCAAGTGAAACTCCTGAACATAAATGGAGATGTTGCGTATGGCCAGTCATTGGTGAGGGAGTGGAGTTGTCTTGTACTATCTGACATTTACCAGTATCTCTGAAAATGTCATCGAATGTCAAATTTTACCTCTGGACATATAAGTGCATCATAAATTTTCTGGAAGCATTGATCCTGTAGAGAAACCTTAAAGAAAAAAATATATGCTTCTGTTTACATCCCCTTACATACTTTCCTAAAACAAGGAAAATTGTGCATCTAAATTAACTTGCTTTTTTTAGACCTCGATCCGTTTTTGATCACCCTGAAGCATTATTGGAAAGGCTTTGTAAACATAAAATGCCTGAAAAATTAACCATGTACTCCTGGATGGAAAATTGGATTTGTAGTTTTTGTAATGTACATGTTTATTACACCTCTTTTAAGTTCCCCTATTCCTTGGGACACTAATGGAGAACTAACAACCAAAAAATGATAAAAATGATGAACTGTATCCAATGCAGTTGGACATGATCAATTTTTATGCGCTTGATCCCAAGACAAATGCACCCTTCAAACTGAGAACAATAAAAAGTAAAACTTTATGTCAGGTTAGGTAGAAGTTGGTTGAAGACCCAAATGCGGATATAAGGAGGCAGAGATGAGTTTTGCTGATTTAATGAATTAACAAATGGTAACAGAAACACATCCAAAAATGATAACCAGGAAACCAAAGAAACCAAGAGACACTAGGGAGCAGAAGAAAAAAACAGCACTGATGAAATGCAGAGGAGAATTATATATGGGGAACAGAACCAAGAGGGGAGGCATCAGTTAATTGGGAGCAGGAGTGGACAGTAGCAGCTAGAAAGGAGCCAAGCGGAAAGGAAAAGGGCACAAGGGGGCAACAAAGAGCAACCAGGGAAAGCATCGCTAACTGTAATTGGAAAACTATAATATAAAGCCAAGAAAACGCAGAATGACATAAATGAAAACTCAAAAAAAAAACAGAACCAAAAAGTGCCCCAAGGACAGGATCATGACTTCAAAAACATTACAAGACTTGATGTTTTTCAAAATACAAGTCCAATTTTCCCATTTTATGTATTTTGTAACATAGAGTTCAAGAGGGCCAACATACATGTAGGTTTGGGTGTTACTTGCTGTGGTATTTTTCTGTTTGCAGACATTTCAATTCAGTTTAATTCAGTTTATTTATATAGCGGCAATTCACAACACTTGCCATCTTGTGGCACTTTACAGTTCACCAGATAATAAAGCCACATTGATTCAACGTTTTCTATCTAAGGAAAACCAGTTGATTGACTTGGATGCAATCCCTCACACTAAGCATGCTTGTAGTGGAGAGGAAAAAAATCCCTTTTAACATGAAGAAAACTCCAGCAAAACCAGGCTCAGTGTGAGCGGACATCTGCTGAGGCCAACTGGAGTTCAAGGAGACAGAAGCAGAGATACAAAAAGCAACTGTAAAAGGCGGCCCCTGTCAACGAAACACACAGCCAGGCAGACGAGCTCCGAGCCAACTCCCATGTCAGAGGATGAAGAGAGCACATGCAGCTAGTCACAGTCAGAGAAACAGGACTACACTAGAAAAACAGGCCGATCTCCAACATCTATAAACAAAGGTGTTGATGGCAGCAGCACAGCTGATATTTCTCTCCAGGGTGGCGTCAAACTGGAACAGATGAGGCAAAGCTACAATGAGAAAAGGCAGAGAGAACATACCATTAAATTCTAAACTAACAGATTCTGCAGCATGGAAGAATAGAGATAGAATGAAGCAAACTGATAAAAACAGGGGTGCCTATGTCCTCCAGAAGTCTAAGCCTATAGCAGCATAACTATATAGATAGCTCAGGATAACCTGTGCCACTCTAACTATAAGCTTTATCAAAAATGAAAGTTTTAAGCCTTCCCTTAAAAGTAGACAGGGTGTCTGCCTCACGGACTAAAACTGGTAGTTGGTTCCACAGGAGAGGAGCCTGGTAACTAAAAGTTCTGCCTCCCATTGTAGTTATGGAAATTCTGGGAACCACTGGTAAACCTGCAAATTGTAAGCGAAGTGCTCTGTTAGGAACATAAGGAACAATCATATCCCTGATATAAGATGGACCTTGGCCATTTAAGGCTTCATATGTGCGAGGGAGGATTTTAAATTCTATTCTTGATTTAACAGGAAGCCAATGAAGAGAAGCCAGGATAGGAGAGATATTTAGAGATAGGAGACATTTGGACTCCTTCGTTTGATTCACATGTTTAGTAAAATTATAGGAAATTCTTTGCAGACTAGAAATCTCAGACATGAATACGTGCTTAGAACTAAACTACTAATAAGAATGTTGTCTTTTTTTCTACATGGAATCTGTTTCTCACATGCAGGGAATTACTTCAGATCCTTTGCAAATTTAAAGGTGGTCTGCTCCTAGACAATTTCTTCCCTTGCTGCTATAATGTTATCAGCTGACTGCTCTCACATCAAGTGTTTATTAACAGAAGGACATTTGTTTCAAAATCCTACATACACATTATCAAAACATAAATATGGATTAAAACGTTTGCATTTAAACTGTTGTCAGTGTTTCTTTACAATTTCCTAATTCTCCTTCTTAGTTTTCTTCTGTATAATAGATCTTAAAAAGAGCTGCTTGTGTAAATTATAATTTTTTTGTTTTAAATTAACAAATAACTTTGTTTCATATTTTTTTAATTATGATATAGGAGTTTAACTCCCATTAAGATAAGATTAGATTAGGAAAAGGTGCATTAGGAATAAAAAATAAATAAATAAAAGAAATAAAGAAATAAAAGAAAAAATACAAGGGAGTAACACAGAGATTTGAGGAGACATGTACAATCAGGATGGCTTATATACAGGTGGATTGACTTTTACATTAAAGTGTAGTAGGTAAGGAACAATGGTGAGGTAGTGGTATATGACTATTATATTCACATATATTGCACAGTCAGCATATTGCACAGAATATTGCACAGTCAATAAATAAAAACTATAACATAGTTGCACAGTGGTCGTTACAGGAGTTATTGTGGTTATAGTGCTGCATTATAGAGTCTGGTAACAGGAGAGAAGGGGGTTTGATTTTTTTATTTTTAATTTATGGTGAAGAATGTGCCGCTCTCTTATATTGTAATGTGTTTAAAAGGCATAAAAATACTTGAGTGTCTAATTTTAAAACCTCTTTTTCTCTTTAGGTACATTCGCACCATGTATCTTGGGATACAAAGTCACAGACAGAAGGAGAACCAGAGGCAGTTTTATTGGGCTATGATGTACGAGTATGCTGATGTCAACATGCTGCGACTACTGGAGACCTTCTTACATAGCGCCCCTCAGTTGGTGCTTCAGCTCTGCATCATGATCCAGAGCAACAAGGCTGAGTGGCTGCAGTGTAAGGGGTTTTCATGAGTACTTTGAAAGCTGATAAATGTGTGAAAGTCAGAATATGTTGTTCCTTTTTGCACAATATGCCATATACAAGCTTAAGTTGCTATTTAGAGATGTTGCTTTTAAAAGCTAATCAAACAAAACAAAAAAAATTATCTGTGGTATCGGTGTTTGTCCAATATCCATCAGTCCAGTTTCCAAAATCTTTTACTATTGTTCCTGAATTTGGTTTTAGAAGTCTAGTTTCCATGTTCGATATGATTCCTAGAGAAAAGCAACTCAATCAGTGATTTTTTATTGAGCCTATATAAATGTTATCATTTGTTATAATGCTCTGCAGAAAACTCTCCTTCATTTATCAATTTGTGGGTTGTCCCTCTGACTTTTTGGTGTTTCACCTGTTATAGATGTTTTAGGAAAACTGCATTTGTTCACTAAATACACTGAACAGATATTGACGGTGTGAGAAATGGGTAATGATCTTACATTGAACATTATGTCAAAAAAGGAGATGGATTGCTCTGACTAAAATAAAATATGTTTTCTGAGCGTAGGAGCCAGAAAATCCAATTGAAATCCTAAATTCCTTTGGTATTTCAGATGTGGTGTGAAAAAACTTTTTCAACTATACAGTCCATTTAAATTAATGGAGAGTTGGGACTTTTTTTACTTTGCAAAGTAAAGGAGAACAAGACATTCACATTCACGGGTCTGCCTTGTTCTGACTTAGGCAAAGTTGTTCACTTGCTTTAAAGGAAGAGTCAAAACAATCACAGACACTTTGGTTAAACAGTTACCTTGAGAAAGTATGTGGTTTTGTTATGGGAAAAGGTATGTCTTGTCTATAACCACCCCTCACTCAGACATGTTGTGGCCTGAATCTGAAACAAACTGAGTTAAAAAAAAATAATAATAATAATTTTTTAGAGAATAAATAGCATACAACAATATATCAAAGAAATCAAATTTTCCGTCAACACAGAATAACAAAAAAAAGGGCATTTATTCTCTATATTAAAAACATTTCTTCTTCAACTGTTTTCAGGCACATCTTTTTTACTGTCACGGTAGATAAATTTGTTTTCTTATCCCAAATTGAAATCATGTGACATGTAAAAACATGAGAAAGACAACTAGACAAAGGTAGCTGACAGCATAGTGAAAAGTGGTCTACTGTTGCTGGCATTAGCTAGGTGAAAGCATAAGTGAAAGAAAGCAGTTTATTTTCGGCAAAATTTTATGCTAACTAATAATAGCTTCCAAGATGTATGGTTTAATGTTAAAAACAGTACTGACTTATATGTGAGAATAGTTTTTACTTTACCTGTTTTTGATGTTGCATGTTTTTCTTCATTTCCAGGTCTTTCTGCCATGTCCTCCCTGCTGTCCCTGGCCTGGGTGCTAGCTTCCTACCACAAGCTCCTCCGTGACTCCCGTGATGACAAGAAGAGCATGAGCTACCGAGGTGCCCTGGTGCACCTGTTCTGGCGCCTTTTCACCATCTCTTCACGGGTGCTTTCCTTTGCCCTTTTTGCCTCGGTTTTCCACATCTACTTTGGCATTTTTGTGGTGCTCCATTGGTGTGCCATGGCTTTCTGGGTTATCCATGGCGGCACTGACTTTTGCATGTCTAAATGGGAAGAAGTACTGTTCAACATGGTAGTGGGGGTTGTCTACATATTTTGCTGGTTCAATGTACGTGAGGGTCGGACACGTTACAGAATGGTGGCCTATTACACTATTGTGTTGTTGGAGAACGCTATCCTGACCTCACTTTGGTACGCATACCGCGATCCAGCTGCCACTGACGCCTATGCCTCTTTTGCCATCTGTGGCGTCTTCCTGTGCTTTGCCTCAGGTGTGGCCTGTATGATTCTCTACTATGGGGTCCTACACCCCATGGGTCCCCGACTGAGGATGTTGGCTAGCTCCTGTTGTGCTGAGCTGCTATGGGGCCTCCCGTTACCACCTGAAGCTGAGCCAATGGCTCCCACGCCGGGGCCTCGTGGCTCCCAGGCTACCCCTACACGAGGCGTGGCAGGGGAACAAATGGGGTTAGATGAAACAGCTACAGACACATGCCTTCCAGTTTTCCAAGTGAGGTCCACAGAGCCTGTAGATGCATCGGGCAGGCCTATCCCACCTGAGGGCCCGCTTATTAAAATAGATATGCCCAGAAAACGCTACCCAGCCTGGGACGCACACTTCGTCGATCGACGACTGCGCAGGACCATAAATGTACTGCAGTTTGTTAGCCCCAATGCGGTGGGCATCAGGTATAGGGACGGTCCTCTTCTTTATGAACTTCTACAGTACGAATCCTCTCTCTGAAGGTCCTTCCCACAGCTCTATTCCACCTTTTACTCAGAATGATGCACATGCTTTTCATTTCTCCTCAGATGTTACATTAAATTTTTTCTCGGGCTCTCTTCATCACTCCTCAATAATCTGAAGGTTTTCCAGTTTTCCTGGACGTGTTTTTTGCCAACCAAAAACCTAACAGAGCAAACTAGACACAGATTCAAGAATTATTTTTTGGAAGACAAAAAAAAAAAAAAAAACTCATAGTGCAAAGAAAATTATGAAGATACAGTATTCTATTTGATAAGTATATATAAATGTATATGTCTCAGATAAATCTCTCTATACTGATATAGGAGGCTTCTAAATGAGTGTGTAAATAACATATGAATGTTACATTCTGAAATGTGTTTATGTGTTATACTGTGTTGGTGATTCAACCTGTGGATATTTGTGAAGGGCATATTTTGTGTCTTTTGGGACATGGGACTAGTGCAAAGCCTGATGGGAATGATGGAGGAGAGTCTCACAGGGCCCAGGTCTTTGCACACCCCAACATTTACTGCCATTTTCTTTGCGAGTCATTGAGATATATGACAAGTAAAATGTTTACTAAGCCTTTAGGCAATGAATTCAAAATATATTCACAGTGAGGTATTTACTTGAAAAACAATAAGTCACAAAATAATCATATTCAGACATTTATTTTGTTCATGCAAATCATGATTTGTTTCATGAAAAACCCCACAACACAGCTGAAAATTCACTTAATGGTAAATAACAAAAATAATCCTCAATCTATTTTACTCTCTAACTATTTTTCTCTTACGGTGCAGACTGCCCTCTAGTGGAGGCAAACAGCAACAGATTGTTTATGAAATATGGCATCAGAACAAAAAACTTATAGAAACCATTTGATAATAAAAGCCATAAGTCAAAGAAAAGAAGCACATTACTCAAATTATTCATTATGGAAATTGTGACAAGTGTCATAATATGCACAAGTTGAATACTCTTTTAAGACTGCACATTGCATAGACTTATTTTTTTGTAATCCAGGTATTTATTTAAGAGTAAAAGGTTACAAATGCAAAATAAAGTACAGATTTTTGAATACAAAGACAGCCCTCAGGGAATCCTCCACCATTCCCGTTTGAATACTGGAGAGTAAAACCTCCCTATTACTATTATTTTGTTATTAAAATGTTCTTTATGTAGTACTAGTACTCACTTGATAGATGCAAAGGCTAATTTAAAACACTGATTTCAGATATTTCTCTGTGATTATACTTCACTGTAAACATTTATAGTTATCAGCATTATATTTTTACCAAAATCCTCTTTTCTACCATTACCTAAACCTTAAAAGGTGCACTCTCTACCAACTGTGTGCCCTCCAAGAGGTGATAACCTTAAAAACCGTGTGTGACTGCTCTGGCTCTTGCTGGCATGTTGATACAAAGCCAAATGAAATCTTAAAGTACTGTCTTTGTAATTTATTCACCCCGATTAACCAGTTGAATGGGTCTGTGAAGAACTGTGCAATCCTTACTGGAATGCTGTGGAGCAATTATAAAGTTAAGAAATTCTCCTGGTTGATTCTGTTTGAGCTCTCGACCACTTATACCCCACGGAAAACCACAATCCTCTCTCCCTATCTTAAAAAAGGAAACATATATATATATATATTTAAAGTATGTATGTGTGTCTTCGTGGAACCATGCCTTCTAAGTCAAAGAAGCTTGACTAAAAATTCCCACAGAGGGCTACTGAATAATTCAAGAGAACAATGAATGCATTTTAAACTTGATTTCATATATAAAATGTAGTTTCTATGTTGTTGTTTTGGGCATGATTTTAGCATAGTATTAATACATTACAAATGGAAACCAGCAGGTGTTTCCCAAGAGCCCTTTACGACACAGAGATCCCCCTTTCCTGGCTTTACCAGCATTAAGCATAGCTGTGGCATTGTGTGCCTGCTAACATTGTACTGTAAAAAAAAAAGCAGATGCCCTGTAAGTCCCAGGTAAAGAGGTCAAAGAGGGCTTTTGTTTTGTCTTTTTTTGCCAGGGATGGAAAAGAACATGAGGACAGGTCGTTCTGCAGGGATTGATTAGATAACGTGCGGTTGTGGGCGTACGCTCATCCGTCCATAGACCTTTCCCACGGTGCTGTTCTCTTGCTGAATGTTTTGCTCCATCCTTGGTTGCTGCTCCGCCCTCTTCCCCGACTCTACTGTTCAGGGCCTTGGCACACCCCTGCAAAACACTGGTGAATGAATGACAGGGCTGAGGCTTAAATAACAGATATCCTGACATGAGAACTTGCAATGAGATACACTGCCATGACTAAAAGTTTCAATAACCAATCCGTGTCTATCACTTTTCAGCCCTGAGTATTTAAGGACTGTTGGGTTAGCAAGAGGGGAGGAAACAGTCAGCACACCAGATTGATGCTCATCTTTATGCAAACATTTAAGTTCTGTATAATTTTATTATAGTCAATGGAGTTGCTTATCTGCCTAGTGAAGAAACAGCCATGCTGATAGGTAGATATTGAGTTATTAATTAATAAATATTGTAACGCTGAGAAAAAAAAAGAAAAACAATAGCCAAATAGAGGTGTTCCTCAGGACTAACAACCAGAACCACTGACAAAGCTGACTCAGGGGTGTCTCAATGCAGTTCTCATTCCCAGGCGAATACTTTAGGGTCTGAAATGTGTTGTTTGCTTTTTGTATTCCATCCTGGGTAATTCCTTGGCTGGGGTTATACCTCCCAGTTCCAGAGTGGATTTTTTTCCTCTAAGAAGCATTGATGTTTTTCATTTACTTTGGCCCTTTTTTATTCTTTGTTTGTTAGTTAGTTGGCTGCTTGATAAGCAGTGCATCCAGTCCTAACACTGCAGAATTTTTCCATAGGTGGACACATGTCCAAATCAGGTGCAAATACACTGTGACTCATCCTTTTTTCCCTGTCTGTTTGTGTCTAGGTGGAATAACAAATTAAGAGATGGGCTTTGGCTGTACAGCAGTATTAACATACCTCCACTTATGATATGATATTAGACTGGGCTCGATTTCATTTTATGGTAACTGTTGTATAATTCATAATAGTTATGCTTGTGTAACTGTGTCATTAAAATAGAAGTAAAAGAAATTTGATTAATTTTAAGACTAGAATGAGTTTAAATGCACAACTCAAAAATGTATGGAATATAGAGTATATTTTATGTATTTTTACCAAACAACCCCCTTCTGCTACATTCTGTAACCAATGATTAGCCAGATAATAGCTGAGCGTTATGTTGGAGGTTTTTGTGTTTCCTATTATATTTCAATTCTACATGGCTATAAAGATCTAAGCTTTATATAAGCTTTTTTTGTTTACACTAGAATGCAGTATTTAGGAAGATACTCATCATACCACAGATAGATTCATAAAGAAAACCCTCTACAAAGATCTCTTTCAGGATACATTTTCAAACCAGAACTCCTGATAGCAGCAACACACAGCAAGAGCTTCTGAACTGTAAGGTTGTTTATCTCAGTCCTTGTTGTGCCTTGTTACTTTGGGTGCTTCAGTCCAGCCTGGTCAGGCAGGTATAAACATAATGCCAGCATCTTACTTTACTTTCTTTTCATAAGCCATCATGCTCACCATGATGATCAGATCAAGCCGGTCAACTTTCAAAGCGCCTTGCAAAAGTATTCATACCCCTTCAAGCAGTTTCACATTTTTCGCCAGACCAGCGTTTTTGTAAGGTGGATGAAAAAAATGTTTTAGAACGTTTCTACCAGATTTTTCAGACTTTTTTTCCCCAACTATTTAAACTAAGTAGGCTTCAGTTTCACAACTAATTATCAATTGCATTTTAGGTTTGACCTAGCCATTCTAATACACAAATACATCTGATTGAAACTGTTGCAGCACTGGCTACATTTATAGTGTTGTCTAATGTTATTTTGTCTTTTAAAGGCATTACCAGGTTTTTCTCCTAGATGGCCCTATATTTAGCTCATATAAGTGGTAGTATGGTGCCACCATCACCATGTCTGTTTTGGTCTCGAGGCCATTTCTTCCATACGTTTGTTAAGACCTCTACATGGATTATATAACAGAAGTGTAATACAATATATTCTCTCGGTAGATTCTCCCATCTAAACTGTTGATATAGGTGTTTTGTCTGCTCTCTGGTGAATTCCTTCTTTTCCTGATGGTTTAGGTGTGCCTTATGGGAGCTTTTAGTTCACTAATGTTCTCTAACTGACCTCTACGACATCCGGAGATCAGCTGGATTTATATTTACTTCCGAAAGCAATTGGTTTTATTTGAATGTATATGGGGAGAATTTTTCTGTTCTTCCAGTATTTTTCCTTAGATGTCAAAATAATACAATACTTTTAGCTTTTTCCCACATAAAAGCACAATTTCAAAAAAGTTGAACAAATAAAAGGAATGCATATTTTTGCAAGGCATTGTACTGTGGCCCATGTTTATTTAGCACATCACTGCTGTGAATTCAACAATTATTTGCTGATGCATGTACCTCTTATTTCTTGCAGCTGTTTTTTTTTTTTTTTTTTTTTTTTTTTCAAGCATTTTGAATTTGTGAAGGAGTTCTTCAGCCAAAACAACAATTCCCGTGATTTGGAGGAAGTTTATGATAAAATGTGTAAAAAAAAAATGAAAAAATCTGTTGGATTTTCAGTGATAAAAGAGGTAGATCATTATATTATTTTTAAATACTCATATTTTCTTCCACTTCCTTGCATGCCTTCCAGGGCTTGTTGTCAGGTGACCCTCAGCTTTTAGCATGTCAGTACTCAAACGACCTTTCAACTTCTACATTAATGTGTAGCAGCAGATCACTGTAGTGTTTAAACCTGCTTTTAGTCACAACTATCGTTTTTACTACAAGAAGGGTGTCATGATGGTAAATCAGAGCATTTATTTTTCCACTTGTGTTCCTACTGTATTTTTTTGTCAATAACCTGGTGCTGGAAAATTTTACATTTAAAAAGGTGCTACCAAGGTAGACTGCAGGTTCCATTTTTTTGGCTTTCCAAGAGCATTAACCTGCAGCGAAACCGAAAAAATAGCCTGCATCACACAAACTTGCAGTCTTAGAATGCTCTGCAGCCAGCACCTCAAATCCTCACAGTTTACAGCAGAACTCAACTCTCAATGGTGCCATTTTAATTTTCCAACCTTCACTAAAAAAAGACTACAGTTTCTTACTGCTTGAATAATGTTTATTCTACTGGGTTCAACATAGAGTGGGGTTTTATTTTGCAATAAATCTGTCTGCACTAGGATTCTTTTTTTTTTCTCTGAGAGAATGAAATTGGCAGATGACAAAGTGCATCTTTTAAGCAAAAGCAAAGGAGCACAAATGTACATCTGAAACTGGACTTTGGGTTATAAAAAATATATATAGAATGTGATTGCTGTGTCGTAAGTTCCTGTCACCTATATGTCCTTTATGTGTGTTTTTATTCTTTCGCTATTGTAGAATCGGCTGTAATATTTTGTTCAAAACTGAATTTGATATTTCAACAAAGCAACTATGTCTTAATATTGCTGCTAAATTTTTTGGAATTGTTCTGAAAAGTGATGAGAATTTGGCTTTGTTTATATTTAATCAACTTATTGATTGTGTTAGCTTGTTGGTGTGTTCCATGAATACTCCAGGGAGGTACCTGATTTATCCGGGGTATTCAAAAAGTTGGTCATAGAGCTGCTACACGATGCAGCTTCATACGGTTATGGAAAGATGCAGCCTATGTTGTGAGACAAAAACATATACAAAGGGATTTCTTTGTTGTTGGTGAATATAAAATGTAAGTAAACTGTTTTATTGAATCCCCTTTGTTCTTTGGAAAAAAAAACAAACAAAACTGATGTCCAGTGTTGTACTTAAACCCTATTTTTGGGAACAATATGAATATTATTAATAACATATGGTGCTAAAGTTCTTTTTGTATGTTTTGGTTTTTAGATGAAAAGAGAAATATTATGCTGAAAATGTAATGTTAAGCCTTACTGTAGATTCATATATCAGACTGTTCATCCCAGAAGAGAAAAATAAATATAGTATTTGAAAGTGCAATACTCCAGTAATGTTTTATTTTTACTTTTTTAAGGGTCTCTTTTTTTGCATCAGTGAAGGTAATTATGATGAATTTGCTTGAAGACTAACACATAATCAACAATACTACTGTAAATTAAATCAAAATTTGAATAGATGTTGAATTTTACTTGTCAAAACAAGGGCCCTGTCAAAAGAAAAAAAATAATAAAATGCATGATGGAAAAATAGCCCTAGAGAAACAAAAAAAATAGTGATAAATTTAAAAATTATAAAAAAAGAGATCCAATCCAGTTTAAATAAAGACAGAAAAAAAATGTTTTTTTCTAAAAACATGATGACGAAACATACATTACTTTAAAAAAAGGCACATATTTATGGATGTAAAAATAACATTGAAGATTGGTTTGGACCCCCTTGTTTTACAATGAAAAGTCATCGTGATTTAATTTGCTGGTTATATCAGTAGGCCTATTTAAGAACGCACAAAAGCAAACAAGGAACTTGTGTTTGTTTGCTTCTTATTATTTAGAAAAACTATTTCCAGCAAAATAACCGTAGCACACATTTGTTTTGCTGGCTGAGGAATACAATGATTGCCAATAAAACTACAACTTGTTTATCTGTTCTGAAATGCAATTAGTCAATATTTTAGCTTTATGTTTGCATCAAGTAGAATTTACTACCGTAACTGATTATCTTATGGGGATCAGGTTTTGAAATGTTAAATGACCATATTTTTACTTTTAGACACTGAAGGAACACTGTTTCTAACATGGGTTGTACACTAGTGTTCTTAGTTGTGTAATATTTATAATAATATTATTATACAAGAGCCCCATTTTGGATTTTGAGACCAGAATGGATCATAAGTCTCAGACTTTTTGAGTCACTTCCAAAGGTTTTCATTTGTTTTTTTAGTTTTTGTTATTTGAAGTTAGTATTTCTAAGTACAAATAATTGCAGGATTCAAAATATTTGTTTCTAAAAACAGTTATTGCTAACATAGTATACTGTCAGTTTTAATATTACGCTAGATCATTACTTATAGTATGGATAAAGTTGCTTTACTGAGATTTACTTTTTAAATTTTTTATCAATTAAAATCAAATACAATTTCAAAACAGCGAACGTACATTTAAACATATGCCACCCATTATAGTTTTTTATAAGACAATTTAAAAAAAACTATATAAACTTAAACATACAGTCAAATTAAAAGAAAATAAAACAGGCATCACAGGGGTTAAGTTAAAGTATATTCAACTTTAAGGCTTTGTTATTTTCCAGTAAGTTAATCAAGGCATGAAAACTTTTCATATCATTTTGGAATGCTTGGAGATTTGAAGAAACTAAAGAATCTGCTCTTATGAATAAAAAAAAAAATCCAGTAATGGGAATAATATATAAATATTCCACATTGTTGTCTTTTAAAGTAATGCTTCTTTATATTTAAAATTGGGAATCACATCTTTCGTCAATTACTGAGAAAACCTAGAATTAGATTAAGGTAAATATTAAAGTGTATACAAATTAATACTGCTTCAATTTATACCTGTTAGGTTAGTGGGGAGTTTTGGTATAATTATTTGACTGTTTAATATATGTTTTAGGTATAATTCTGGAACAAATTAACATTCATTTTAATTTAATACACTGAAGGGAATGTATCATTTGGCAATACGTGTGAAACAGTTATATTTCGTTTGTGTATCTATAAAAAATATTTGCTTTTAAAATATTTTTGGCCGCTTCGTTCGCGTTTATCTAATCTCAGCAGTTTCCAAGCTGCTGTTTTGGTTTGTGCAAAGCAAAGCATGCTGGACTACAGTTCAACGCCCAAAATGGCGGCACGGTTGAAAAGTTTTTGCCGTTTTTATCGAGTTAGTATTCATCGTAGCTGCTCTGGACACGTGCCGTGTCATTTTTAAATCTTAAACTCCCCGATAAAAGAGTTTAAAACGCAAGAAGAGAGCTGGAATGGCGTCTCGCTATCAGCTCAAAAGTAGGAATATCTTTAGAAGCACAATGCTAAAATAAGTTAGCCTAGTAGGCTAACTGCTGTCAAATAAGTGCTGGCTTTGAGCTCCGTCGGTCCTATCCTGCCTCACTTAGATCTTTGGTCGAAGTGAGAATGAAGAAGAAAACTTAAGAGATGGAAGAAGATGTAAAAAAAGTCAAAAAGGTGGGTCACTTTACACTTTTTTTTGTTCTGCGGCTTACATGCTAACATGCTAGCTCTCCGTGAGTAAGGCTAACTGTAGCTAGTTTAAAAAGTTTAGTGTTAGCTGACAAGTGGTTGCCACCAAACACATCCTTTTACCCCATGAACAGACTAATACCATATTTAACAATTTATAATATAGCAGAGGGAAGACTAGTAAATATGTGTAATGTCTGGTCTACGGAGTTTGGTGTTCTGTTAGGATTTTACTTTCTATGTCAAGCTACCGAACGGCTACTCTGGCTGATTTACATTGTAGAAACCTCGTCGCTCCTTATTTTTTGTAATTTTTATCTGGTGCTCATCTTTCACATTCGGTTTAGGGTATTACTAAAAAAATATATAAAATAAAAGAAAAATACGGTTGAAATTTGTGCATAACTGCTAAAAATTTTGTAATAAGAGTAAAAAAAAGTTAGCTCCCTTCAGTTGTTTCTTCAAACCTTCATATTAGTTTTTTTATCCTTTGTTCTCTAACGAGGAATAGTTTCGTAGCTGAACGAAGGGGTAACGCTTCCTATGATATAACTATTATTTATATTAGAAGAAAGCTGTGTACGGATTTCTTCCCATCTTTGATGTGTTTCGTCAGGTTTATTTTAGGATATGGAGGCGACCCTTGAATGCAGTTCCTGTTTTTACCACAGGGTGCTGATAGCGATTCAATTTTGTGACACGTTGCTATTTTAATTTTACAACTGTTTTGTAATTTGTGTTCAGGCATTAATGATTTCTTGACCATTGAGGTCAGTTTGGCAAACGTTGATTTAAATTCTATTTCTCTGCTCTCCTTTTTTTTCAGTCTTTTTGTTGGCTGTGGTGAAACAATAACTGAATACGCTACCAATCCAATTTTGGACGTTAAAGAACCTATAGTTTTACTCCATTTCACGTAAAATAAGTGGAAATGCAGTAAAATATCGAATTAATCCAAAATATGGAAATGCAGTAAAATATCGAATCAATCAAAACACACAATAAATATGACAATAATAAGGGAATGTGCATAAGCCTCATTGTATTTTGCAGGGCATACTCAAAGAAAGTGGTTGCCTCTCTTTTGTTTTTCTGCAGGTTTAGAAAACTGAAGAAAAAAAAGAGCTTTGCTGGACTGTTGTATCACATTTCACAGGCGTTGTAAAATCTTAATGTGTTTGGTTGGGGCATACTGTTAAATAATGTAACTGGCCTGTCATGGTGCTGTAGTTCAACTTTGCAAGCAGCTGTTACATATTGTTGAAATTTCACTCATGATATGACGTGCAAACGTTTTCTTTTTTTAACATACATGTATTCCTCACTTCTGATTATCCCTTTGGCACTTTATTTTTAAGGTTTGCCTAAAAAAAAAAAAAATTAAAAACAGTAAAGGTGTTCATAGGAGTCAAAAAGATAGGCAATGTAATTTAATAACACAGACAATAAAGATAGCTTTACAAGCTATTTGTATCCCTTAACATTTAGATGTGAGAGTATTGAAAAAAGATTCCAAATAGTAATCTGAATGAGATTTTTATATTTTAAGCTTAATATACTTGCTTATCGTATTTACATAATGCTAGTCTGAAAAAATTTCCTGACTTTTCTTGATGAACCTAGTTTAGTTTTTATAATCTAATCAGTGGGAATCAAAATAGGTACTATTTTAACTACTAGAAGATTAAAGAAATACTATTTTGATTGATTGTTATCTAAACTGCTCAATTCGGGGAGAAAAGAAATTGTGGGATAATTTTTAATAATTTTTTTCTTCATGACGCAAGTGTTCAGTTTATGATTAAACAAAAAGGGCATCATCTCTATTTTAACAGCTCCCAAATCTGTTGGATGTTAAATAATAATAATCTGCAGATCAAGGTTATATGGATTTGTCTCCGGCAGTCAAAAAGGTTTTATTGGATTATTATTAGACTTGATGCTTGAGTTGCACCATCAGTCTGAATATATGTATTTTGGTGGAGTAATATCCTTTGTTTTTGTAAAAAAAAAAAAAAAAAGGAAATATATATATATTTGTTGCTGAATATTTTTCATCTAATCACTTAAAGCTACAGTGTGTAATAATTACAGGGATATAAAGTCAGAAATTGAATATATTATACATAACTATGTTACTTATCATCACCTATGAGCTCAGCCTTTTAACCATAATATTTGCGTTGCCTTAGAATTCGTTATTTATAATTACATAGGAGCGGGTCTCGCAGCCATGGAGGCTGACATCTTTGCGCTACGGCAGCGCAGAGGCAACAAACTAGCGATTGTGAGATCGCCCATTATGCTCGAAAGTAACTACGGCAAGTTGAGAGAGATGAACTGAGACGGTACTGAACAATAGATGGCAGTATTATGCCTGAAAAGCGTTTAGTCTGCCTGAAACCAAAGAAGAAGAAGAAGCAGGTATACGGCGCTTCAGTAACAAGAAAGGTAAACAAGGCGGCAGGCGTGAGTGACTTTGCAAACTGTTTGGCCAAACATCAGACGAATGGAGGATCATGCCTACTCTGTATCACAACGAAAAGCGGCGGACACCGAACCCCCGTCATCTAAGAAGCGGAAACACGACGAGAATAAACGCAAGCGTGACAAAAAACGCGGATCAACATTGGCACGGCATTTACACGATGGAAGTCACTGATGGAGGAAAAAGGTTTTCAAAGTGACGCTCAAGTCGCCAGTTTTCTGTTGGACAGGTAATTAATCCTACACACACAATTGTCTTTTTATACACGTAATACCCCACCCCCACATCCCGTTTCAACCAAACTATTGTCAAGATGTCTGGTAGCATTACCTAGATAAGGCCACAGCTTCATAAAATTACCACAGCTGATAGTGGCGTGTGTGAGTGTGAGAGAGACAGATATATGAAGCTGCATATTAGCGAGCTACGGATATATACCTCGGTTACTTCTCTCCGGCTCCTTTGGAGATCTTCAAGCCTTTCCTCCACTGCTGTAGGCACCTCTCCCTCGGCTGGCCCTAGCTGCACGCCCACCCCGGCCTCTCTGCCCTCTTCCTCTCCCTCTTCCTCGCCTTGTAACCCCCGTGCCACAAACAAGACTTAGACTCTGTAAACGGGGAATATATATTCTTCCAGCGAACACAATCTCGCTGTTAAACTAATGACTACAATTACTTCGTCTGTTTATATCACCATGCAAAGCAGCTCACCAAAACGTCACAACGATGTAGAAAAAATAACGGGTATATTTATTATCTAAAGTCTACATGAAATCTGTACCCTACACAGACTAATGAAATACTATCTGTAAAATTATCTATGTAAACAAACCTCATCACTTGAGAAAGTAGGTGATGCGGACGTCGTGGAAGACATTTTGTCCCGTAACGCTCGCCGTACAGTTGGGGGGGAGAAGCGGTGGGGGGGGGGATGTTCATGTTGCTGCAGTCTGCAGTCTGAGCGCTAGATGTCGCTGAAAATTACACACTGTAGCTTTAAGGGATATGCTAGAATATACTTTTAAATTTCTCAAAAAAGTAATTGTTGAAAACTGTTTTAAGCCAGAATTGCATAGGGAATTCATAAGGAAAAAACAGCTTTAGGCATGACCTTATAAGACCTTAACATTCATCAGATAAAGTGTGATTAAGCAGAGGAAAACTTCTGATTTGTTAAAGGCGTTGTTGAAATGAAGTGATGTTAGGACAATGTGGCCTGTTTTGACATTTCACTTTCTTAAATCTACAACGTTAGCAGCATATGAGACTGAGCTCCTGTGGTTAGCACAGCAAAAAGCACGTCGTGCTTTATGCATGTTACTGTGGTTTTGCATAATTGTGCACAAAACTTTGGCTGCTAAATTCTGACAGAGATTTAAGAAAGCTATTGTGTGATGTCAAAACATAAGTGTACAGGTAGTAGATTAATTGTTAGTTCATTATCTGCTAAGCTAATTTAAAGAAGCATATGTCTGCTGCAGAAATGAATGTCACAACACTTACAGCACGTGTCAACACAGGAAGTTGTGGTCAGTTCCTTTCCTGTTCTTCTGCCTAAGAAGTCAAAGACACATCCCTTCCTTCTTTGGGGTCACACCCCTCACCCTAAGCGCAGAGCTTCGATCCTCTTGCTCCCCATCTGTTGGCAGCTGTCGGTGTTAGTGAGAAGAGCCAACAGGTGGTAGAGTAGTAACAGTAGCCAGGCTGGGGCGTTACTGGTGAACAGGTGTGTGACCGCTTCATTGAGGGATCATGGAGAGTGAGGTAAACATGCTAATGTTTTTACATTTTTGCAACCCTCAATGTGATGATTAGTGCTACCCTTTTTTTTTAGCACAGCAAAGGGAAACACATAAGCAGAACTTTGATGTTTCCTCTTTGACGTATTTTTAGTTAATTAACTTGGTCAGGCTACTAAAACTATGTGGCTTTTAAATGGTGTAGTTGGACTATGACCTGTTTTGCTACGAGGGGACGGGAGCTGTGAAGCATGCTACTGTTACACTCGCACAAAGATGTCAGTCATTAGCCTACTGTTGAAAAAAGAACCCACTAGATGCCAGTCATTTTCTGTTATGTTTTGGGTGTTTTTCTTATCCTCTCTCTTTTTCTGTATTTAATAGCCTGGGATTGTTTCTCCGTTCAAGCGGGTCTTTCTGAAAGGAGAGAAAGGGAGGGACAAGAAGGCCCAAGAGAAATCCACAGAGCGAAGGGCCCTTCATACCTTCTCCCTCTCTCAGCCTGACCACCGCATCGACCCTGACATTCTTCTTAATGACTACATTGAGAAGGAAGTTAAAGTGAGTTTAACCGTCAAAATATACAGTTTGTGGGCATTTATATCAAAACAGTTCAACCAAACGTAGCATTCAAAAACTGTATTTAATAGAAAATGTGTTTTTTCTGTTGAGTTGCCAATCAATATATAATATGATGCTTTTTTTTTTTATAGGGTTATAAGGTTTTTATGACATTTACGAATGTGAAATATTTACCTGTTGTTTCCTGTTTAGTATTTGGGGCAGCTGACATCAGTTCCAGGATACCTAAACCCATCAAGTCGGACAGAGGTTCTGCAGCTCGTTGATAATGCAAGAGTAAGTATATTCAAAGTGTTAGTTTGTGTCTTCAGTAGGACCTCCCTCCATCTGTACTGGGGTGATGCTTAATAGATAGGTTTCATAAGTGTGACATGACTATTGTGACTTTATGGCACAGCAATGTTTATTTACCCTCTGAAAAGCTGTACTAAACAAACTTTCTTTTTGTATACACTCGTATACAAAATGACAATAAAAGTTTTCTAAATCTGCTCTATCTTACCATCATATTGAGTTGCTTAGCTCTTTGGCGCTTCCACTCTGAGCAGAATGGATCATTCTCATTTAAATCCCTATTAGATTAAACAACACACAGACAAAATCTTTGGTATAGGATGTGATTGATGCAAAGTCCCTGCAGACGTTTTTCCAACACCTTTCTTAAACTTGACAGGCTTCTAAACTTCCTTTCATGACTTTAACATCTTTCATACACAATCCGTCCTCATACACCAGAGAAAGTCTGAAAGCTTTTAAAAGCATAGATCCTTATTGGTATGTCATAGTTGGCTGGGATATTGATTTGAAAATATGGCATCCGTAAAACAAGATATTTGTATGAAAAGGGAAGGTATCAAATTAAAAAAAGCAAGGTTCTGCTGATCTTTACGCCTACTTTATGTAAACAGCTAAACTCAACTATAATCTGTAGCAAAATCTTCAGATTTAAATATCAAAGGCATTACTTTAACAAAGTTTCTAATCCGCTAAATCTAATCACCCAACGTCACAATGCACGCACAGCGTCTTTGACACACAGGGGACCAGAGCAGGTACTCAATATGGCCACGGCTACATTCAAACATCTGTGACATTGGCTGCAAGGCATCAATACACAGACAGGAGTTTATTTGTCTTTATTTACACCTAAACAAAAAGTTTTAAGCCAAGGAGGGCAGCAAATTCTGGGATAGAGAGCAGACCAAATATGGCAGGTGTTGATATAATCCTTGCTTGTGTCAGTGACTAATAATTTGCTCATGCTGAGTTTCAGGACAGTCTTCTCTGCTCCAGCAGGTGGTTAGCTTGATTTAAACAGCTTCTGTAATGTTGCAACAGCACGTGCATTTTTCTGATTTGTTTTATAGGTTGTCTAACGCAACATATTCAGCAATTTAAGGTCTTCCGTTAATTTGCTTTGGGTGCTGCTGAAAATCTTTGCACTCTATGTCATTTGTATTGATTTCAAGCTGATAGCATTTAATTTCATATAAACCAGTTGATCATTTGGATGATAGAAGATTGGATGTGGGTCGGCTTATTGTCACACTCAAAGTAGCTGCTTAAATATTTAGCTGCTGTCTTTCAGAAATCCCATCAGTTGGCGGGCCAGCTGACATCAGAGCAGGATGCAGTGGTGAGCTTATCTGCATACAACATCAAACTTGTTTGGCGAGATGGAGAAGACATCATCCTTAGAGTGCCAATCCATGACATCGCTGCAGTTTCATACATCAGGGATGATTCACTACACCTCGTTGTGATAAAAACAGGTAGAACATAGAAGCATGTAGAAGCTGCAGTACTAGTTTCCTCTTGTGATGATATATAATTGTGTCCAATTCTGATACCAACCTGTTGTTTTTTTGTATTTAAAAAGTAGACATTGCAAAATCCATGTGCAAATATAACTCCTGGCTGCTCCTCTGTCCAGCAGATGGCAGTAATGTTGTGTTCATTTTCTTTTTTGTTGTGACACTCATCTCTTTGGTTTTATAGAGAGGGAGTTTGCTTTTTTAGGGTAGTTAAAATTGAAATTTTAGGCTGCTCAGCTAAAATTATTTAAAATGCTTTAAAATACAATGTGAGGAAGTAGATAGACAAGGCAGTTTTTATTTATTTAGCACGCTTCATTGGCAAGACAATTCTAAGGGCTGTATAAACAATCTATTTATGGTCCCTAAACCCAGAAACAGCATTTTTTCCATCAGTATTAAAAATGTTACAATATTCCTCAAAAAAATATAAACTGTAATCACTTAAACACATGCGGCTTTGGCTATTTTAACTATTCTTAAATCCATTGTAGTATCCATTTTTGATGTATTTCTCTCTATCTGCTCCCATTTTCAACCATTTAATATAATTTTAGCTGAGCAGTCTACAGTTTTCACCCTAATTAATATGATTATTCAAGCTATACTGCTCCTCTGAGCAGAATGGTTCGCTCCAGACATGGTTCAGACTTTCACAGCAGAGTACCATAAATCCAAAATGTACATTTGCTGCCTTCATCTTTAAATTAGAGCCACATGGTCGATGCCTGTTTTTTTTTTTTGCAGAATGAGCGACCTCATTGATTTAGTTCCACACTGCGACTATTTAGATGGGGAACAAATGACTTTTATCTGAGATTTTTTGATCTAAAGATATTCTTTAGAGGTATAGATATCTTAACTGATGTTAAGGTAACAGTTGAAGTTTATTGTTTCTTTTTTTTTCAGCTCAGGAGTCGGGAGGTTCCCCCTGTCCCAGCTCATGTCCTGATCTAAATAAGTCCCAGACTCTCAGCTCTCTGTCAGAAAGCGGAGCTGTGCTAGTGGAAGTCTGCTGTCTACTCGTCCTAGCCGTTGATAATAAGGCAAGTTCCTGAAAATGAAAACAAGTTTAACTAATTCTAGGGCTAATGTGTTTGGGGTCATATGGTGAAATGGTGCTGCTGACCAGCCTAAACCTACCTGGATAGTTGAACCACAATTAACAATGATTTCCAAAGAGGTCTGCTTAATAAGTCGTGGACGCTCTGCAGGGCCCGGCCAACAGTTTCTGATCTATGATACAGCAGAAAATATAAACACTATAAATCTAAAGCACATTCTAGATTCTTTTTTTCTGTCCTTACTGGTTTAAAAAATGTCAAACCAAAAAACAAAACAAAACAATGAACAGATGTTTGCCTCTCATGAGGACTAATTTCAATGTTTTTTTTCTCGCAGGCAGCTGCTGAGGAACTTTGTCTTTTGCTCAGCCAGGTCTTTCAGATTGTTTACACAGAATCAACTATAGACTTTCTAGACAGGGCCATATTTGATGGAGCAACAACACCTACAAGACACCCTTCTTTGTACAGTGGTGAGAAAAATTAGTCCTGTTTATTGGCTGCCTTCCAATCTTTGTTACAAAACAGTGAAAGTTTGTGCTTTTACTAAGCTGCTAACCTTAAATTGTGAAATGCTTCAATTTACAGATGATTCTTCAAGCAAAGCAGATGTCAAGGAAGCCTTTGAGAGAGAAAGCAGTCCGTTGTATGTACATATGATAAATCCAGCCATTTTGAGTTAATGTATCAGTCGTGCTAATTAAGACTGATTCGGATGGTGTGTTTCCTCAGTCCGTTTCAGGCAACAGAAGGAAGTTCTCCATCTACATCCACCCCTGCCTCCCCTCAGACAAAGGCTCCAAGTGAAGGAGAGCTCAGCACCACTGCTGCAGAGCTTCTGCAGGACTACATGACCACAGTACGGCATTTCATCTTTTTCTTTTGTGCTAAAAGCAAATGGGCTAAAGAATATCCTCATTAATTATTTTTAGGATTTTAATTACTCTTGTTTTTTTTTCTTCTTCCGTTACGCAGTTGCGAACGAAACTATCATCGCAGGAGATCCAGCAGTTTGCAGCTCTGCTCCACGAATACAGGAATGGTTCCTCCATTCATGAGTTCTGCATTAATCTGCGCCAGCTCTACGGGGACAGCAGGAAATTCCTATTACTTGGTAAAAACACCCTATTTCATTCATCGCAGATTTTTGTAAAAAAAAAAAAAAATGAAACTACTAGTATTCTTTTGATATGCAGCATGGAAAAAAATAATATAGTTATTTAACAGATCAACACAACACTGAATGGGAATGAAGGACATTTGGTTTGAATTCTTTCTAAGAAATTGGAAAATGAGAGGTGTTGCCACCATACATCAGCATATTGTATGAACCACTAAATAATTTTAAAGGGGAAATTAAATTGTCACCAAATCTAGCTTTATTCCTGAGACAGTCAATAATTAATATTCAAACATCAAAATATATATAAGTAGCATTGTTTTATTAATTTTTGCAAACTGCACCACCATGTTGTTTTACTCTAAAGGCCAATTATTGCTTCTGACGCAAAGTCTCTGCAACCGTCAAATCTGTCTCTGTGCGCGACCACGCCCCCGCGCAGAGGCTCTGCAACCGTCGTCGTGCACCTCAAAAAAATTCTGACCACGCATTGGACGGTCGCAAACCCGCGCGGTCGCAAACCGCGCAGACCTCAAGTGGAAGGGCGCAGACAAAAAGCAGCTTTTGGTATGCTTTTCCGGCTGTCTGTGTGGTTGTCCTTCTAGATTCGGTACCGGGGCGTGCCCTTTCTAAAAACCGATGAAAAATGTACAACTACGATGAGAGGTCAATCAAGGAGGTTCGGAAGTACAACCATTTGTACAATGCCTCAAATATATCCTCTTTAATGTCTAGCAACTCTAGATCCATCTCCGTGAATAGGCTCCTCCTTGCGCTTTGGCAGGAAACTGCTGGTGTCCCTAGAAATTCCAGACTGACGGTGGAGAAGCATACCAGTAAAACTGGTTCGCGACCAGATCCAAGCGACATTTGATGTGTGTGTTTGCAGAAGTAAAATCTGCCCTGGTGATAGAGGTGATAACACTGGGTTGGTTCGCTCTGTACTTTCCAGTTGAATACAACCATAAAAAACTCAAGAAAATTAGTGTGATGGAGGACGAAGCTGAAAGGAAACTCAAGCTGCTGTTCACCAATGCCCACGGTGATGGAATCTATCTTCTGTCATGAGGCTGACCTGGACCACGTACTGCGCAGCAAGTTTTGCCTTATGAATGTGTGGACATTTAGATTGCTGTGCTAAGAGGTGGACGTTTTGGAGGTGGTCAAGCTGTCCCTGAAGGACGTGCAAGCAGAAACTTTGGAGCAACCGGTAAACAGGTTTCAAGAATAAAGCCCCAGATTAGTGAGGGAGAGGATGGACCTTAGGATAACCTGACAGCCAGCTGTGGAAACGGGGAATAACGATAAGAAACAGATCATTTCTCTGGAGGTTTGGACCAGCTGTGGTAGTCTGTAGGTAAGTGATCCTGTGGTGCAGGGATGTCTTCATCCTGATGGCTGCTGTTGGAGTTATACAAAAGAGTGTTTGAGGAGCTTGATTAGGAATAAAGTTGAAGAACTTTGTTTTGGACTTGGGGGCATAGTTAATGACTTAGTACCTGCTAGCATAACTTACCTGTCATCGCTCTGCCTGCTTAGCACGTTTTTGAACCCTGGCATCATGACTGATTGTTGCCACTGACCTGCTGTCAGAATACCTTGGCCAGTGAAATTAAAGACACTTGGAGCAGCTTCAGCCTTTAGCCAGCTATCTGATGGGCCGCTAGCTGCTACATGCTTTCTACAGCTTCCTCTTCTGTCTTTAATACGGTTCCAGTAACACGGTGAATGAGCTTATAGATGGTGAAATAGTAAACACTCGCAGCAGTTCCAGCCTTTAGTCGGATGCCCGACAGATCTCTAGCTTGCCAGACTCAGAAGTCTTGTGCTCTACATAATCTTCACCAGGTTCCATAGCGTTTTTCCTTCTCAAGACTTGAGTCACATGGTGAATGGGCTTAAAGGCACAAGGAATGTGATTTAGAAGCTCGAGTGTCCTTCCAGCTTCGTCTTCCATCACACCTAATGTCTTAAGTGTTTTATGGTGGTTCTGTATAGCTGGTATTACCTATGTGTTGAACTAGTAGTCACAGAATCAAACGACCCTGTGGCATAACTGCTTAGAAAACTGCACATAGCAGCTCCTTGCCAAAAATGTTGAAAACAATGCTACATTTTTTCTCTTTTTTTTCATGTTTTTCATTTAATTATTTATAATTGTAAAACACATTCTCATAAATTTATTTAGTTTTGTTCATTGTTTCATTTCCACTTCCAAGTTCCAAGCTTTCCCACAGATTCTAATACAGAACTATACTTTCATCCAAGCTGCTCTAGTATAATTCTGACCTAATAACCACAGCCCAATCTCAAGATTTCTTTCTTTTTTCTCTAGTATTGATTTTCTAATTTAAGCCCCATTAGTTCTTTGGCCAACGTTCTTGCCTTTGTGAAACAAACTGTCCCCACAGCATGATGCTGCCATTACCACATTCCATTGTGCGGATGGGGTACAGGGTGAGGTATTTATGACAACAAAACTTTCATTTTTCCTCCCTCCTGATCTTTTTCCACATGTTTGCAGTTTATTATAGAGGAAATCTAGTAAACTTCTGGTTGAAGCAGTGAAAAGATCTATTAACATCGAAGTAATTCTTTGTAAAACTATTTCGATCCTCTTTTTCAGGCCTGCGTCCCTTCATTCCTGAGAAGGACAGCCAGCACTTTGAAAACTTCCTGGAGACCATTGGAGTGAAGGACGGCCGCGGCATCATCACAGACAGCTTCGGCCGCTGCAAACGCACGACTAGCTCCGCCTCCGATTCCACCACCAACGGCAACGGAGCAGTCGCTGGAAGCGGGGATTCCACAGCTTCTGACGAGGGCCAAGATGTCTCTGAGGGAGACGAATGGGACCGAATGATTACCGACATCAGCAACGACATCGAAGCACTTGGCTGTAGCATGGACCAGGAGGCTGTGACCCCATGACACTTCGATGTCCACTCGTCTAATGAGCGGTTAGCTTTAGCGGATCAGATGAAGGTGGTCCTGAGCACTGACCTAAGCTTTGGTTATTTCTTTATTCCTCTAATTATCAAGAGGACTTTCTATAGGACCTGTATATTCAAAGAAAACCTTGCCTTGTTTCTGTCCAGTCGACTAGTGCACTTATGCAGACCTCTTGGTCGACTTGCAGTTAATTGTCTTGTTTTACATTTCACTTGGTTTTAAAGCCTCTTATTTTTTACTTTGGTGTTTCACTCATTTATTGGCAGCATCTGCCACTGATATCTGTTATAAGCATCTCTAGACGGAACCTGTGGGGAATCCGCCTGTAAACTGTGCACACATTTTAGAAGGTTGACACACAGCTTTGTATCTTAATTTAACCATAATTTAATCAGCTTCATCCACCTTTGGTCTTTTTCATTTATTCTGATATTGGAGTGTATCATTTTGCTGTTCATAATACTGCAAGTTCTTTACTTCACACTGTTTATTAATCGGCACGTTTGTATCTGCCTTCAGACTGACCTAGAAAATGCTGTAAAAACGAAGCCAGACGATGAGGACTGTGCTTTATTTGAAAAAGCCAGCTTGTGGATGGCTGATGTAAAATATTTTCAAGATTCGGGTCATTTATGTTTTGTTACATTAAACATGTCATTGTCCCTAAACACTGCAGTACTGCTACCAGCAGGTTCTTGGTGACTCTATTAGCAGGTTTTCCAGCAAGTTGTGGTTATTAAATAACAAATAAGTTACATTGATTATATTTTGATATTGTAAAATGGCAATCATGATGTTGTATAAAAATACACGACTGTCATCTGACTGTTCTGGTGTGTAAATGTGAGGTTTGAAATGAAAAATAATAGTGTTTGATTTGAATTTCCTTTATCAAGGAAGGATTTTACGATCTAATTAGGATCCTCTGATCATTTGCTTGGATGCACCTAAGCTGCCGTGGAAGTTCTTTCAGATTCATCAAAGCAGGTCTTGCTGCTGAATGCCGTCACAGTCAAGGGATTAGATTAGAGGGTCTTGGGGGTGGGGGTGGTTGTACAGACGGCTCAGTTTAGTCACATTCCGTTCTCTGAAGTCTCAACACAGTTCCATACTGTTCCTCATCCGTTTCCATAGGATTACAGCCATGCAAGAATTTAACTTTACCCAAGCCGTTTATCTTGCTCACATCATGTGTGTTGGACAAAATTGGAGCTACTTTTACATCCACCCCTGGGTGAATGTTTTTGAACAAAGGAATGAAACAAACGGGTGACATTGTCCAGCTGCTTCAGCAGGAGACTAAATGATCCTGACGCGCTGTCAGGGCAACCAAAGCTTTTACTCGCATTATGGAGAGAAACACTCATTGGTCTGTTAATTTCTCATCTTTAATCCAATTTTAGAACAAGCTCAGCCCTTCATGGAAGCAAGTAATTACGATACAGTTGAACTGGTTGGATAGCCATTGAATGAATGATTGAGTTTGACCCTAATAATGTTAACATCGTCTTGCATCGAGTGTTCTTCCTGCAGAAACCAAATGCATTCAGTTTAATAAAACATTAAAAGTTGTCATTTTGGGGAAAGATTAGGATTTATTAGCAAAATCTTGTTTGGTTTTGATTATTGATAAGTAATGTATTTCAACTTTCACAGCTGATGCAGCACTGACATATAAAGCCCCCCACCTTGAACCTATACTTAATTATTTTTTATAGTAAGGTTTTATCTCTCCTTTTGGCTTCTTTCGTTTGAGCCGGTGTGATAAATGAATTTCTCCACCGTGAGATCAATAAAGTCTATCTTATCTTTATAAGATTTTAAAAGAAGCTTTACATTAATTGTAAAGATGTGTAACAGATTGCAAGATTGTTTCTTCTCTACTGAATCTGGGATTAGATTGGACTGAGAGCTTGCAAACAATTTCACTAACAGAAATTATATAACACCTTTAAAGATATTTTAATGTGATGCAAACGAGGGCAAAATAAACTTCAGTATCAAAACTGTTCAACTTCCCCGGTATTAGCCTTTTGTAGAGCAGGGCTGTCCAAGTCAGTCCTCAAAAGCTACCATGCTGCAGCTAAGACAGATCTCTTCTCCAGCACACCTGGATTGAATGAGAAGCTTGTTGAAAGGCCTCTGTTGAGCATCACATGCTGAGGAAGGAACCTGCTGTGAGTAAGTCATGGAATTCGGTAGAAAACTATTTTTTGTCCAAACAAAACTAGAGCTATGCTTTCATGTCAGAACACTTTTAGTATCTACAATTGTTTCCAGCAAAGGCTCATAAAAATAAGACGGCTGTTCTTTATTGGAGAAAACACAGGCAGGATTCTGTTTAAAAGGCTGTGCACGTGGTTGTTCATGATCCTCCCATTGAACTAGAGTACAAGTCTACTTCTACTGTTTTTTTTTACTCCCCACTGTCCGTTGTATGTACCTCCACACACCTGACTTGAATAAATAGGTGATTAACAGGCAGCTGTTGGTGGCTGCTAAGGAGGTAATGCAATGATTTGATACAGGTGTGCTACAGCAAAGACGTCAAAACAGGACAGTTGGTGCAGATGACCAATTTGAAAATGGATTAAAATCACTGTTCCTGGCGCTTAAATAATGGAAATCAGCTCTGATATTCTAAGCAAGTGTTTCTTTTAACCTGTGTCCCCAATGCCGTTTTAGATGTTTCTTTGCTTCAACATATCTGATTCAGATGATAGCAGTTTAGCAAAGCCTGTTAATCTGCTATCGATTAATATCAGGTGTATGAAAGTAATTTCCCTCTGGGATTATTAAAGTATTTCTGATTCTGAAAACACAGGTGTCAAACTGATTCCTGAAAGGGCCATGTGGCTGCAGGTTTTCTTTCCAACCAAGCAATAGCACACCAGACTCCATTCATCTCATCAAGTCATAATGTTCAGATTGGGATGAATGGAGTCTGGTGTGGTGTACCCAGTCTGGTCAAAAACAAAAAGTTAGCAGAAAATATGTTTTCCTTGGATTAGTTTTCCTATGCTGATGAAGCAAAAAGGCATGATTCTAGGACTGGATCCACACTTTTCACTAATTATAAAGTCAAACATCCATTTAAGACTAAAATTACCTTTTTGGTAGACAAAGATTTTAAGTAGTTCTCTAAGAAACAACAGCCACAGTTAGATGGCAAATTTCACACTATTCCAGTCAGCAACCAAAATGAACCACTGCTGTTGCTAAATTATGTTATAAAGCTTCTCTTTCCTGTTCTGGCACCAAAGGATTTCATCTTCTCAGTGCATATCAGAGAAATCTGCCAACAAACTCCCACACTGAGGGCTCACTGTGAATCTGAGAGGGACATCTGGGAATCCAGCCAGTCTGGCCCTGCGGTCCACCTTGCTGACATTTCTGTCTACTGTATTCATGCTAGAAGTAGCGGCACGGTCCTGGTGAGAAGTGTCTCTGTGGTGTCACATCTGCTGTGTTACTGGAACATGATGGCACTGTGGGATGCATTTCTTTTTCAAAAGTATATTTAAAAAATTGAGTGAGGGGAAAGCTAAATACCAGCATTGTGGGAAGATCATCAGCATCTTACTTAACCTACTTCTGGATCAAAAGTATAATAATTTCTTATTATGTCGGGGTATTTTTCTCAGATTTCATGCTTGTCATGCCGATAGGGCTAAGCTTTGAGTCTGCATTTTATCATGCAAATAAATCTATTTAGGCATGACATCAATAACACAGTAGGGACAGCTGCTGAGTAGAGCTGCAGTGGGAATAAAAATATATATTTACCTAAAGTCTTCATTCACTGATGCATTTTGTCAAAAATATTGTGGAGACACCTTTAAAAATGGAGCCTAGGCAGAAGTTCAACTGAAGAAACCGATTGCTCTCTTACATCCACCTGTGACACAGCCAATCGGCTTTGAGCCACACCTCCACGAAAGCCAATCGGCATCCAAAGTTCATCTTAAAAGGCCTCCGATACGCACCTGTCTGCTCCTGTGCGCAGGCGGCGGATGCGCTGTGACTTCATTCAGATGACATGGTTTTAACCCACCTCCAGCCCCTCCTCCACCATTGTAGCTAAAGCTTCATCAGAGTCATTCCTCCCGGACTCTTACTGCGTTCTCTGTCTCATCTTAACCGGTCCGGCAGAAGACCGCCATGTTGAGCCTGGTTCTGCCAGGGGTTTCTTCCCAACAGGGAGTTTTTCCTCTCCACTATCGCTTCATGCTTGAACATCATGGACAGGTTATCTCAACCTGTGTTATCCAACTGGACTTCCATCTTCCAGGTCCCTGAGTGAAGCTCTAGTATCAGCTCACGCAGTCCACTGGATCTCCCCATAAAGCTCAGCAGACCGTCTCGCTAACCAGCAGTCTACAGACTGACCAACTTCATCTATCTCCACTCCACCACCAGTTTCAGGCCTGGAGGGACACAGCCCTATTGCTCCTGTTCATGCATATCTATCAAAAATTAAGTTGTATGTTTCCTGCCGAGGTCTGAGCGACAAAGTAATTCTATCAATACATTTCTCCTAATCATCTTTTCTCGTTGTGCGAGTTTTTCCAGATTGAAATGTTATTCACATGAAAACCTTGAGCGCAACAAAATATTTCACAGTATTTTCTTTCAGAATAGCAAAATATGCAGAGATTAATGAACAGGGCTCACATGTTGCTGCCTTTTCAGATGACTAAATCCACTCTCATTCTGCTGTTGCAAAGGTGTGAAGCTTATCTCAATAAAGAATGAAATGAATGAATGACCGTAGTCGGCCTCGGCAGATGGTTGCTCAAACTGAGCCTGGTTCTGCTGGAGGTTTCTTCCTGTTAAAAAGGAGTTTTTCCTCTCCACTGTTGCTACAAGCATGCTTAGCGTGAGGGATTACCTTTTAGTTAATGAGTCGATGCAATCAACTTGTTTTCCTGTATGATCTGGTGAACTATGCTGTTGAAGATTCTCAGTCTTCCAGGTCATAGTCATTCCAAAGAATTTAAAAGACAATCCACTGGACTTTGTTTCCAAGTTTGAAAATGTCAGAAATAGAGCCAAGTTCAAGGCTTTTAGAGTGGACCAAAACAAAGCCTTGTTTTGGCTAAGAAACATGCAAATTGAATCTGACGAGTGGGTCCGTCCCTTTGGAATGGGGGTGGTTTTGTTTCTTTATTAGCCTGTAATACCTGAAACCTGTCTATGACTCTGAAAGGGGGGGGGGGGGGTCGCACTTTACAGATCTGGTAAAATAAAAAGTGCCTTGAGATTATATGTATTGCTAGTTGGCGCTATATAAATACAGTATACTGAACTGAAAATTGAATTGAAATGTTAATTTATTTTTCCAAAAGGGGAATAAAATGCTTTTTTTTAATTACCTGAGCTCATTATTAGTTTGAGTGAAAGGATTTGCCTCAGCCCTGAGTATCTTCCAGTTATGGCCTGTATTTAGACCAGTCGACCAACTTCTCTGTCCCTTCTAAAGAGAGCAGCCCACACCATGATACTGTGACCACTTTGTTTCACAGTGGGAATGCTTCATTCAGGGTGATGCACTAAGCTCCATCTAGCAGAGCTAAATAAAAATAAAAAATTGAGAGTTTATGTTACCGAAGCCCCGTTATAGCTCCTATTTCTTTTTTCCCAGATTTTTTTTTCTAATATTCCTTTCCTTCTATTAGTAGTTTAGACTGTTTTTAGGTAATCAGTGTCAAGTGGCATTAATTCTAGATTTGTATATATGCAAGACATTTGTTTCACAATCCACTGACACTCATCTTTAAAGTGTTTAACTACTGCACTTGAACTACACAACTCAATCAGATTTTATATGCTTCCATTTTTATGCAAACCCTCATATAAATCTTCTTTCTTAACTATAGTTAACATAAAATATTTGTTTCATAACTTGAAATCCTTGAAAGCATGTTTTTTTTCCTTACAAAAGGGTAAATAGGAGGAAGCTAGTTTAGTTATATTACAGTTTACTCTGAAGTAGAACCATGTCTTTATCTCATATATGCAATATTCATTGGTAAATCAAATGCTGTGTAGATGTTTCTGAGTTCTAACCAAGGCCACATGTGAGGAGCCGTTATAAGTTGATTAGTTGATATAATTGGACATGATCCTTTCAGTGAGCAATCATGTATATTTAAAATGACAAATACTCAATTTAAAATAAGTCTGAGGTCTGGATGTACTTTTCCATTTCTTTGATAAATATTGGTTGCAAGATCCAAAATGGGATGTAAACACAAGCCCTGTAAATCTTTCATGGATTTAAAACAAGAAAGGTTGCTGCTTGTACAGTAGATTTATGTTTAATTACTGTGCCCCGCTGAACTATTCACAGTTCTTGGACGATAAATATATATATATATATTTTTTTTACATTTTAGCCACAAAGTTCTGTTTATTATTATTGGATTTTACATGATACCACAACAGAAGTTGCACATATGGGGCGACAGTGTCATCGTATGAAGGAGTTTGCCCTGCAAACGAAGGGCTGTCGGTTCAAGCCCAAGCTCCGGCTTTCAGTGTCGTTGTGTCCTTGGGCATGACACTTCACCCGCGTTGCCTACTGATGATGGTTGGAGGGTTCTGTAACACCAGTGTACGGCAGCCTTGCTTCTGTCAGTGAGCCCCAGGTGCCAGCGGTTGCTACAATGAAGCTTGCCACCATTAGGGTGTGCGTGAATGACTGAATGTAGTGTAAAGCGACTTGGTCAAGTCTTCTGACTTGAAAAAGCGCTATGTAAGTACAAGCCATTTACCATTTATCAGAATTTTAAAATAATAATAAAAAAATGCTTTACAGTTCATAAAAAGTTGTACCCAGAGAAATCAAAGGGAACACTCAAAGAACACATCCTTGGTCTGAATGAATGAAATATCACCGAATACTTTGTTGTCTAACCGTTTGTGTAGACACATACACTTTTGTGGCCTGCTGGAGGTCATTCTACAGGGCTCTGGCAGTGCTCATGCTGTTCCTCCTTGCATAAAGGATGACATAGTTGCTGGTTTGTTTCTCTTGTACGGCGTCCCCAATGTCTCCTGGTGTACTGGACTGTCTTCTGGTAGCGTCTCCTGCCTCTGGACACTACGCTGAAAGACACAGCAAACCTTCTTGCCACAGCTCGCATTGATGTGTCAACCCCAATGAGCTGCACTACCTGAGCCACTTGTGTGGGTTGTAGAGTCGTCTCATGCCACCATGAGAGTGAAAGCACCACCAACATTCAAAGTGACCAAAACATCGATCAGAAAGCATAGGTAATGAGAGGTGGTCTGTGGTCCCCACCTGCAGAACCAGTGCTTTGAGTGTCTTGCTAAATGACAACAATTTCCACCTGTTGTCAATTCCATTTGCACAACAGCATGCGAAATAGATTATAAAGCAATGTTGCTTCCTAAGTGGACAGTTGGATTTCACTGAAGTTTGATTATTTATATCGAGTTATATCCTGTTGTTTATGTGTTCCTTTTATTTTTTTTAGCAGTGTAGTTTCGAATAATTTGCTGCTGGGAAGTGAACCTTTTGCAATATTTAACCAGGTTTCTTCTTGTTTCATTGTGCAATGAGCTCAACCCACCTTCCCGTTAACTCTAGCAAGCTTACCTGTCCCTATTGAAGAAAGCACAATGTTGCCACCACTTTGATTGACAGCAGATAAAGTTTATTAAGGTTCATATTGCATATTACTTTTTTTTCTATTTGAATACGCAAAAAAATAGGCGCTTCTATACATCTCTGTGCTTTAACACATTTGCAAGGACTTTGACACTATACATTTTTATTTAACTTTTGTCGTATTTTCTTGTTACACAAAACAAGCTTGGTCCCATAGAGATTTTCAATGATTACTTTTAGTTTTTTGTTGCAAAAAGCTCCTGCTAGCACAGCGAGAACCTTCTAGCGTTAATGTTCATCTTAGTGACCCCCATGAGTCTCAGTGGGGCTGAGAGCCCAAGTCCTGGGGTGATGGGGCACTCGCACAGCAGGTCGGACAGCTCGTCCTTTTCTTCAAGGCTGAGGGTGGCGTCGTTGAGCATGCGGCGATGCAGGTGACACGTCTGCTCGATCTTCAGCATGTTAATGTCACTCCGGAGTCGAATCAGTTGTCTAGCCAACTGCTGGTCCTGCGAGCGCATATCTGTCTGCAAAGGAAAAGAAGAAAAGTGAAAATGGAATCAGAAACTTAAAAAGACTGAAAGCTGTTTTTTTTTTTTTGTATGGACAGAACCGTGTATTAAAGGAATAGTACACCCAAAACATGATTAGCCTTCATTTTCTACTCACCCCCATGCTGAACAACACTCTGGAGTACTTTTTTGATATCTCAAATGCATCTGGAGATCTGGGAGGCTTCTTGCTGTCTGCTGACATTCAAATAATGGAGGTCTATGGTGACCGAGACAGAAAGGTCCATAAAAGTCCACAAAAACGTGTCAATATTCCTCCATACTGGTCGTCCAATGTATTCCAAGTGTCCTGAGTGGGTAGCATCCAGAATTTACTCGAAACGAAGTCATTTAGAATGTTTTTAGAGCATAAACAGTAGTGTATAGGATTTCCTGAAAGCGCGCACCTGCGCGCTCACGACGCTACGGAAGCCGGCAGACCAAGCCAGATGAAAGTGCGCATTCAGCGTCTGCTCTGCCAATAATGCAAGCGTAGAAGAAGAAATGTGCTGTTTACCTGTGCAAAGAAAGAAACAACGAAAGAAAAATGTCTGAGGACTCCAGTGTTGAGGAAGAGCATGAGTTCTTTGCCGAGCTGAATGCGCTGGTTTGGTCTGCCTGCTTCCGTAGCGTCGTGAGCGCGCATGTGCGCGCTTTCAGGAAATCCTATACACTACTGTTTATGCTCTAAAAACATTCTAAATGACTTCGTTTCGAGTAAATTCTGGATGCTACCCACTCAGGACACTTGGAATACATTGGAAGAGCAGTATGGAGGAATATTGACACGTTTTTTGTGGACTTTTATGGACCTTTCTGTCTCGGTCACCATAGACCTCCATTATTTGAACGTCAGCAGACAGCAAGAAGCCTCCCAGATCTCCAGATGCATTTGAGATATCAAAAAAGTACTCCAGGGTGTTGTTCAGCATGGGGGTGAGTAGAAAATGAAGGCTAATCATGTTTTGGGTGTACTATTCCTTTAAACCATTTTAAAGAGTTCAAACCTTCCTCTAAAGCACATTTATACTACTGACTAAAGCATCACATGTTTATTGTTTATATTGCCTCTATGACCGCAGGCCTAAGTGTGTGGTCCTTATTGTGTAGCAGAACTTAAAAGGAAAATGCACAGTGGGATATCCACAAACAAACTTCTTTTCTTTGTCCATTCCCTATGTTTGCACAAAGATCGCAATCATCCGAGGTTTATAATGTGCATTATGTTTATGGCCTCATACTGTGCAAGTCCACCTCCATTAGAGACTATTATTTTTGCTGGTTCCAAGCTCATAAGCCATGGCTGAATGTGCAGAGTAATTGAGCAGAGTGAAGATGGTGACACTTGCAGAAAATCTGTGTAACTCTATTGTGGGATTCGCTCACACTGTCTAGCATGAATGGGTATCTTCTAGTCACTAATTGGACAGCGTGAGGTTTGTGAAACACTAATTGGCTGAGCAGCAAAAAGATGTTTAGTTGAAACTAAAATGTTGCAAAATAGCATTTTTGAAACGTAGAACAAAAACAAATATGTCTAAAATGCCTGATGACGGGTCTCACCAGCTCTCTCCTGAGCCAAGCGAGAGCTTCGTCGATGCTTTTAAACCCCTTCAGCCCACCCGAGGCCTGCTTTTGCTGACTTTTTTCTGTGTCAGCTGCAGTCTCAATGTACGTGACTGGTTCCCCTTCGTGCTCCTTCTGAAGCCGGTATTTTCCAGTCGGTGACTCTTTAAAGTTTTCTGCGTCCAGTCGGGCCTTCCACTCCAAATAAGAAGGCCTCCTAGTCTCCAGTCTTAATTTTTCAGTCAAAGCCTTTAACGTCATTAGATGGTCATCCCCAAGAATGTCCACACTGTTCCCACAGTTTGCTTCCTCCAGAACACAGGGTGTATTTACCATGATCTCTGGAGATGATCCTGCATCCATCATCAGACTGCTGAATGCAAAAAGAATAACTGTTAAAAACAAAACCCTACCATTTACAATTATGCAGTTGTTATATTACATGGATAACATTTACTCTAAAAAAACATTGGCAAAGAGCTGGAGATAATCAACCTAACATGTACCACATAGTTAACAACGGCAATAAACTAAGGCAGAGCGCAGTGAAGGAACAGCTGTCACAATTTTTATTTCACAGAAGCAAAACGTCTCCATAGCAACCATCTTAAAATGTATCATCTTTTTCTACGTTCTGTCTTCGTTGTTTATTGCATCAACCAGTCTTATCAGGTTACTGAGAAGTAGGCCTCTATGGCTGGTGGCCTCATGCTGTTGTCATGGATGTCCTATATTACTATGTATAAAAGACAGGAGCACAAAATAAAACCTTTTTGCCTTATTTAAGATGTTTTAATTGCCAAACAACTTCCAAACTACCAAAATTTCGTAACAAAACATGAATTTTTTTTTATTTGCAGCTAAAAACTAGTGTCTAGAAATACAATTTAAGTGTGTTCCATGGCTCGAATAGTGTAGATTTAATTTATTTAAACTAAAAGGGCACCACATGGTTTAATAAAACCCATTATAATTCATTAGTTAAAAAAAGGCTGAGCTAACTAACCAAAAAGAAAACTCTCATCTGAAGTGTCCTGGTCATGATGTTAAAAGCTAAAGTGCAACACTATGAGGACAAGATACAGGGTTATCAAAGATCTGAGATTAAATTATACAAAATCTAACACACTAACACAACAGCACATTACAGCCAAGATCATAAAAAAAATACAAATATGTAGTACAACACAACAGATATAATTTTGTTTAGAGTTGTCAGGTGTTACAGTCAACAATACCTTTTTTTTATGTTTAGTGAAAGTCTTATATGTTGTTAACCAGATATGAATCTGGTTTTCTTAAACTCATTCTTCTGAAGTTGGTGGAATTTTTCAAATTCACCATCATCACCAAATCATAAACCCTAAAGACATATAGAAGTACAGAATAAAGTCTTCTCGTTGGCTCTTTTGGAGAAATAAGTAAATGTCATATTTAGGCAACAAAATGCTGCAGAATAACAGAGTTCAACAAATCACAATGAAATCAAGTTTATCTGTAATGATACATTTAGATATTAGTTCTAGAAGTGTTATACTGAAATGTACCTATTAGCACTTACACAGAATCCTATATAATAGAGATAAGTAAGGTTAGGGGCAAATTTAACAGAAAGGTTCAATGTACATGATGAAATTTAATCTCGATTTTAAAGTTCAAGTGCAGTTAGTTGAATCCTATTGACGCTTAAAACACAATATCATCTTTGTACTAAAAATATTTTAATGTGACACTTGAAGATTAAAAAAGGCAGCCTACCAATGCGAGTTTAGAGCCCTAGACATTAGAAGTCAGATTAATTACCAGTTCTTTTTCATAGAGTAAGCTATACCCTTAAAGCATCAACACAAGAGAGTACTACTGCTAGGTGCTAAAAAGCAACAAAACAGAAATTTTAATTTTTAGTTTTAAAGCAGACATATATCTTGACAGCAAGAACTAAATGACATAAAAACTTTACTCCTAGTGCTCGACCAATGTCTGTTTACTGTAGCATAACATTGTTTTTGCCAGTAAAACATACAGGGGAACAAAACGGACGTTTAAAAACAGTGTAGCTGACATGTCCCCCCTGCCAACCCCCCCAGAAAAAAACGTAATGGCTGTGACTGCTAACCAATGAGTTGATTTGAATTTTGAACAGAAAGGAGTTGAATGCAAAATGGCAAATAAAATAGTTCACTGCTTTCTACATACAAAAACAAAAGCACTTTAAGATAGATTTGGAAATCATGGTTAAGAGATTTTTTAAAGAAATTAAATCCAACTGCCTGAAATACTTGATTGAATTCTGAATATCTATTTGCTATTTTAAGTTTTATTTTAAATACATTCATTTTCTATCACGCTTATCGAAAGGTGGGTCACAAGGGGTGCTGGTGCCTATCTCAAGATGTCTACAGGTGAGAGGCACCCTGGACAGGTCACCAGTCTATCACAGGGCAACACAGAAACAAACAGGACAAACAACCATTCACACACAAACTTATGTTTTTGGACTGTGGGAGGAAGCCGGAGTACCCGGAGAGAACCCACACATACTCAGGGAGAACATGCAAACTCCATGCAGAAAGAGCCAAGCTGGGAATCGAACCCAGATTTTCTAGCTGCGAGGCGGCAGTGCTACCCAATGCGACACTGAACAGCACAGAAAGAAATCAAATCTGTAGATCCGCAGAAAAAAATACCCCTGAACACTGTTGTTCCATATGCCCAATCCAGCCACCAGATTTCCTCCCGTTTTAAACTTCACTCCCCATATCATTAAACATGCTTTGTGGAATCTGGATTAAGCCGCTTGTAAAATCTGTCTCCCTTATTTGGAACATAACAATCATGTCTACATAAACACTGCCAGAACCAAATCAGGCTTTAGTGTTATGCTTTTCAACAACCTGCCTGTCATTATGTCCTAGAGAGGTTTCAGATTTCAGGTTATACAGCATATGCGAACATGAGCAGAGTTTTTAGAAATTTCAAGTCAAGCAAGCTCTAGAAAGGTCAGTGCTGACAGTATTCATTAGAGTATACTGTGTTTATATCATTCTTAAGAAGGACACTTAGACTATCCACCTTTATTCATACATGTTACAGGTATTTTGTTACCGGTACATTTATTGTGCAGAAAGTGGTTCATAGAATATATATATATATTTGTTGAGATAGATATTTTAAATATTGCTTGTACTTTTACAATGTCCATAAAAAGACATTGGATAAAAAAAAACACAGTCTTAATATTTGCTGTAAGTCTACAAATATTACATTTTAATTTGAAAATAAAAAATGAGTTATAACAGCTGATGCAAACAGAAAACACAGATAACACTGCAACACAAACCATTGAACTTAACAGGTATCGTTTAAATGTTGGTTTACTCTTAAGTGCGGCAATAAAATAATTAGAAAATGCAATTGTTTTGTATAGGCTTTTTTTTTTATAGTAAGACACATTTGAATCAGAAATTGCTTTTGACAGAGAAAGGTTGCTCTTAAAACCTATTTTTGACAGCACAATTAGAGATGAAACAATATTACGAAAAGATCAGATGTTACCTTGTTAAAAACTGCGAAAAGCCGCTCTCAACTAGTCATCTTTCAACCTGTTCGCCCTGCAGCTCAGGGTGCAGCTGAAGCTGAAGCTACCGGAGGAGGGGCGGGGCTAGTTGCGTCAGGCCGTGGTTGCCTAGAGACGCTCCAGACACGCAGCGGACATCCCGCTTTGTTGACATTACAAGAGCGCCACAGTGTGATTAACAAAAAAAAAAAAAAGAACTACAATAGCATTTTAAAGTAAAATAAAAAATACCAATCATGCATTTGTTTAGGATTTTTAATATATAATAAAATCTACAAGAATAAATAATTTCACAAAACAATTGCCATATATAAATACTTGAAGATGCATATAAATTAAATAAAAATCCAAAAACAGTTTTAAATGTTTAAATTTGTGCGCAATGTATACATTTCAATTTTATTTTGAAATATGTCAACCGAAAGGATTGCACATTTAACATGAGCAGAGGGTGAAAATGTAACATTTAGCCAACAGGTTAATTAACATCTGACATGCTTTGGGTGCATGAGACAATAGTAGGTGAACTAACAAGCTGATGAATAACTAAAACATGTGAAGTTTAATGCTCACCGTCAGTGCTGGGCTTTAGAATTAGTGCAGGAGAAAAGGCCATAAGCCATCAACTTTCTCAACATATTTTTGCTACAGGTGGGTATATAACACCCATACCAAAATATTTACAGATAATGTGCACTCTGAACAAACTGATTGTCTAATAAATTCATTAACAAAAGTTAAAGCACAAGTTGAGGTTTTCCTTTGATTCTTCAATCAGGTCCACCAGTGGGAGTGGTACACAACAGATTTATCTGGTTGCCAAGATAAATAAATGTCTTGAAAAATAAAGTCAGAGAATGTGCAGAATAGAATGAACTGAATAAGTAATTTGTTATTATACTTCACTATTAATTGCCTACTCTGACACAAAGTCAGAAAATAAACTCAGTTCAAGCTGACAGATCGATTCTGGCCTTGTTCAACCAGAAAAATCCCTTGTCCACCATTTACAGAAAAAACATAACAATCCTCCCACTCATTTACAGAGTTATATCCTGCCTGACAGTTACAGAATGCTTTCACTGACTATTATCACAACATTTATTTATAAAGCCAGTTCCTCTATGTCATCATCATATGATGGGATTGCACGGACAGCGGGTTTGCTGTCAGTTACATGTAGAACATTGTTGTCCATCATGTAGGATGCTGTAGGTGTGGAAGAACCCGAGCTGAGGCGATGCAGTCCTTCCCGTCTTGAACGAACCCCGTTTGTTACCGAAGGGCTATTGAGTACCTCCATTTTATTAGAACCTAAACTGCTACCAGCCGGCGAGGCCTGAGCACCGAACAGCTGCTGCATAAGACTTGCCTTTTTGTCTTTCTCTTCTCTCTTTTCTGTCTCCTTCTCTGTTACCACCCCTCCAAGATTAAAAATCCCTATGGCTTCTAGTGTAGGTTTATTGGTTTCTTTAGGTGGTGCTGTTGAGAAGCCAGATGGAATCCGGGATGTTGAATGTCCAAATGAAGGTGCGTATCTTCCGAATGCCAAGTCATCACTGGAGGTTTGGGACCGCAACACTCTCCTTCCCAGAACCCCGGAAGAGTTATGGTTTCTCTCCTCAGGTGGATGTGGAGTGGGAAGGTTATTTACAACCTTTTTTGAATCGGAAAGAAATGACTCAAAAAACATGGAGTCCTGGGCTCCCTGGTTTTGACGATCTATTTCTCGCATCCTAGCTAGCAGCTGCTCTTTTTTTCGCCGGGCTTCTTCTGCCGCTTCCTGGCTGGGCGTGGATTCCTTGTTCAATCGGGCCACCGTCTCCTGAACGCGGCCATGCTTCCAGTAAATGTCGTCTTCGTTCTGGCTGAACAGGGAATCTGACTTCCTTATTTCTCCCTTCTCCTCATTCTTTCTTTTCTCTTTTTCTGCAGATGTATGGTGTCAGATTAAAATGAAAGTCATGACTGAGTATTTCATATAGAATATGTAAAGACAAGAGCAATGAAGAGTTTCTTCTTACCATTTTTTAATGTGTTTGGCTTCTCTTCAAGCGCCCCCAGCCCAGAGTCAAGTCCTTCTCGCTGCTGTGTCTCTTGCTCTGTCTCATTCACCAAATGATCTTTATGTCTTTCTCTCTTCTTCTGTTGATCCCTTTTATGAGCCTCCTTATCGGCCTCTGCTGTTCCGTCTGCTCTGTCGAGCTCCTGGATGAAATCATTTCAGAAACAGAAAGTGAGGCATGAATTCAACCAAGCAGCCGCGCTCATAGAGTTAACCCGACAGCAAAGGATGAACCAGGCACCTTAAGAGAGAGGTACTCGTCAGCTGCCTGCCCGATGTACTCATTAATGGCGGGGGGTGGTGAGGGGAAATCTGGACTTGACATCGTGTCCTCAGTTTGTACGGCCTTGGTGCTGTTCCTGCTGAGGACTGCAACAAAAAATAAAATGTAATAACGGACGTATTGAAAAGAAAATCCATTATAAAGCATCCCTGTTTGTCTCTCTCTCGTAGAATGACTTACGTTTCCGCTTTGCACTGATGTCAGTGTCTTTCTGAGATGTTGGTTTTACCATACGGTTGGAGTAAATATTCTTAGCATCTAGCTCCCTTTCCTTTTCCTGTTCAAAGGGATGAAAGAAATATCCTACTGTACAAAAAGCAACAAATATTTGCTCACAGTCTTCAGGGCAGCTTAGGGGCTTATTTGAATTTTGTACCTTGAGTTTTTTGGTCAGTTGGTCCAGCTCCTCCAACAGACTCTTAACCTCCTCCTGAGAACTGATAGTCTTCTTCTTCTCAGCAGCAAGCTGTCTCTGAAAACTGTTGTTGCTCAGCTCAATGCTACGCTCCAAGTCCTTCAAATACACATAAACACACACACACCTTTATACAACCACCTCACCAAAGGATTTAAGGCGACATTAACAATGATTCAATAGGAAAATACAGCAGTTGCAGTATTTATGCATTATAACCCTATTTAAGTTCTGTGGCTTTACAGTCAAAATGTTTTGGTTCTCCTGGGAGTGGAAAGGAAAGGACCCATGAGAATTGGGGCATGCATTTGTATTGACCCTCCTAAACTCTGAAAGCCATATAAAACCAAGAGAGAATAAAGCAAAGAAGGACTCTGGATGTTTATGTTAACTTTGGAGGAGCAGTGGAGATTCGTAGCTCAGGTGGAAGAATCTGTTCATAGGACAGCTACTAGTCCTGCATTGCTCTGACATGGGAGTTGGCTCAGAGCTCATCTGCCTGGCTGTTTGTTTCCTGGATGAAGCTGTTTCCTGCCTTTTACAGTTTCTGTTTGTATCTCATCTTCTGTCTCCTTGAACCCCAGCCGGCCTCAGCAGATGGCCTCTCACACTGAGCCTGGTTCTGCTGGAGGTTTCTACCTGTTAAAAGGGAGTCTTTCCTCTCCACTGTCGCTACAAGCATGCTTAGTGTGAGGGATTGCATTTGAGTCAATGAGTCGATGCAATCAACTGGTTTTCCTTGGATAGAAAACTTTGAATCAATATGACTGTATGATCTTATGAACTGTAAAGTGCTTTGAGATGACGTGTTGCGAATTGGCGCTATAGAAATAAACTGAATTGAATTGAAGAGAACCAATTGGGTCTAATAAGAATGGCAAGAGCAAAGTCGTAATAAAGAAGGCCGTAAGAAGAGGCAATGTTTTGGGTTTGCAACAAGCCATGCACTGTTAAACACAATGTTGTACATCCAGGGCTGTTTGATATGAGCAACAGCAACAGTATTGGAAAACATGAGGGGAAAAAAACTAAAAAAAAAAAATCTGTTGTCTTTCATTTTATATATTTTTTTTTTCCACTTTAAATCTGAAAAACAGATTAGGTTTCCTCTCTTGTAAGAACATGTGGAAAAGGTCAAGGGGTTTGTGTAGTGTTTGTGAAACTGTAAAAAAGTTACAATACTTCATTATTAATAAAACTTAAAAAATCTCCCTCCTTGATGAATTTACCTTAACCCTACGTTGTGCCTCTTGAGCCCGAGTTTTCTCTTCTTCAAGACTACGGCTTAGCTCATCTCTGGTCCCTAATTCTTGCTGATCTACTAGCTTCTTCAGCCGAGTCATAGCAGCTTGATTCCTTTGCAACTGCTCCTCAGTCTCCTTTAACCTACGCTCAGCTTTCCGTTCCCGCTCTTGTGTGCGCCGCAGTCTTTCACGCAGCACTTGCATCTCATTGGAGTGGCGCGCCAGGAGCTGGGAAATCTCACTTTCTGTGTCGTCATAGCGTTGCAGGGCTTTCTCCTGACGCACCTGAAGCTTTAGTTAGAGAAAGAATATTAAGAGAGGAACCTTCATATGAAATGATATTATTATTATTAGTGTTGATTGACACTGTGAGGAGCTGCCTTATTTTTGAATGAAAGGATTTAATCAGGACAAAACCCCTTTAATAGGAACCCGGTTTCGATTTACCTGTCTGAGAACTCTATTTTCCTTCTTCAGTTCATCATTTTGCTGCTGTAGTTCAGCAAGGGAGTTGCGCAATTCATTGATCTTCAGTAAACGGGCTGACAGCATTCTCTTGGTCACCAGATCCAAGTCTTTATGCGGTGTTGACTCCTTGCTTATTGACCGATTTCCCTTTCGGTGCTGCTGTGTGACATTAAGGCCACCAGGTCGCTGGAGCCGATTTGCACTCCAGCGTCCAACCCCACCTAAAAAATAAAGATGGTCAACTTTAAAAGCCTGTTAATTATCAGGGTTTCTTTTAAACTTGTAATATGGTATATAAAACCATTATTTTACTACTGAACAACTTATAATAAACTTCATTTCAACTCAATACTGAGGTGTTAAAATTGGGGATTTGCTGCCATCATCTGGACAACATTTTTTCTTTCATTTACTGAGTCTTGCTAATGTACTTAATTCCTTAATGCCAGTTTTTAACCAAAAACAAAATCTATCTTATATTATTATTATGTGATAGAAAAAGTCACCGCCTTTGTTTAATTTATATAACAATAAATGCTCTGGGGGTATGAATACTTTTGCATAATACTCTGATAATATTAAGAGTGACAAGAATTTCTTTCAGATTTCC